ACCAACTGCTGAGGTTGTGGCGCAATGTATATGCAAAAATTTAGCATTCGATATGCTTCTGGAAGTTCTGATCCTAAATCCAATGTTAACCGCATAGCTAAGTATTTGCTCAAGTGGTCAACTATAAATGAAATCACTAGTTAAATATTTAATAATTTTAATATGCTCTGATATTGACCTGTGGCATTTGCAGTCGTCTTTATATAGCGAATGCAATTTTCTTTCAAAGCCTTCATCAATTGGTTATCACCTGCCATTTCAGTTGGATGTGGTTTAAAAACCAACTCTATTTCATCATTTATCCCAAGTTCACCCGTACCTTCACCTTCGGTATCGATATTAGAATCGCCTTCGGTGCGACAATCCATCTGTGAGTCGGATTCCGACTCCTCAGAACGTTCCGATGTCAGCACCGACATAGCGCGCTTTGGTTTCGAGCTGCTCGAATTCGATGGTACTGGCGATGGAGTACTGCGCATGGATGGTGGATTTGAGGCGCCATCATCTGGTTGCATTCGGCTAGTGCTGGCAGTACTAACAGACGTCGATGCTGCCGCCGCCGAGGTGCTGGAATGTGTTGAAGGTGGTGCGGCTGCAGAAGGTTGAGGTGCATTTCCATTTGCACTTTCGCGATTATCGCTGTCATTGCCATTTGTGGCGCTCTCATTATTAGAGTTATTCGCATTAGCTGAATTATGGTTTCCATTATTGCCGCCATTGCGTCCACCACAACCTTTGGCACGGAAACGTTGCGGCCTATTTTGAGATTGTAATTTAATGCCCTCATTAATGGAGTTAACCAATGCTTGCTGCGATTGGGTTTGATTAAATTTGGCCATAACCTTTTCTTGTATAGCTTCGTATTCTTCACGACTGGGATATATTTTCGATATTAGGAGATCGAAATTGGGGTCAGGCCGAAGTGAGCGCTTTGAGACAAGCTTCTTTCGGCAAGTTGGGCATTCTTTATTTCCTGAACGTAAAGCTGTAATAATACAATCCGAACAAAAACGATGGAGACACTCCTTGGTTGTCATTGTCTTTTT